AAGGCCAGAACTGGCAAGGGCATGCGCGGTGCTCCTGGGGGCGGGGCCAAGGCCGGCGCCGGAGCTGGCAAGGGCATGCGTGGCGCCCCCGGGGCCGGGACCGGCCATGCGCCCGGGGCTGGCACCTGCCAGCCCAGATTGCTCCGCGGGCGCATGTAAAGTGCCCGGCAGGCGCCATGGCGCCCGCGGGCACCGGGTTGGGGACCACGGTGCTGGACCATCAGGAGTCCCGGAGCATTGGATGTCGGACTAATGGAGTTTTACTGGGCAAGGGCATGCGTGGCGCCCCCGGGGCCGGGACCGGCCATGCGCCCGGGGCTGGCACCTGCCAGCCCAGATTGCTCCGCGGGCGCATGTAAAGTGCCCGGCAGGCGCCATGGCGCCCGCGGGCACCGGGTTGGGGACCACGGTGCTGGACCATCAGGAGTCCCGGAGCATTGGATGTCGGACTAATGGAGTTTTACTGTACTTCTCTTTAGACTAGACTCAATTTTAATGAAATTTGAACCCTAAATTGGACGATTGATAGTGTCTTTTCTGCATTTGGAAAACAAAGTTAGGATCATATTAAAACTTTGTAGTGAGCATGGACTTTTACAAGTGTGTACTTTCAGGTAAACACACTGCCCCTTGCGTGTGCTGCTCAGGATATATGCACTTAAAAAAAGCTAATGAAGAGGGATATTAGTTGGTCTGTTTACAGTCTTCACAATTTTAGACTTTCAAGCATCTTCAAGTCCCTTATTCATTTTTCTCCTCACTCATGCTCATGGGGAGTCAGGGGAGGAGAGAGAGAGGGTGTTTATTTGAATGTGTGATCATGTTTCTCACATACTCAGGCTTTGTACTCCAGCCAAAGAAATTTGAAATTCATGGTTCTCCGTGGCTTCCCTGACTTTATCCTCTCCTCCCCAGTTGTGGATTGGGGTGTAAGACCTATACCTGATTCCCTTAATCCAGAGGCTGGGATAACTAAATTTAAATTAAAATGGAACTTTATAGGGATGCGCCTTTAAAGATTGGAGAGTTCAAGTAAAAAAAAAAAATTAACTTACAAGGGCAAATTTTACTCTGTCACGATGTTTTTGTTGGTCTATAGCAAGGGCAGTAGATCTAAAAAATACTAATAAAATTGTTTAACCTATAATGATGATTTGTTTTTAGTATTTCAGTTTATAGTACAAAATCAAGTCTATATGCCAACTCTGTATGTGACTGAATTAATGTTGCTGAAGGAAGCCTTTAGCTTTTTCATTCTCTGATTTTTATTGTAACTGTGAACCCTTAAGGATTATTGTAGATGTCTAGAATGTTTCCTTTTCATGCACATGCCACAAGGCAAGGGAAAGTTTCATTAGTGAGATCATTTGCTAGCACAGTAATGAAAACAGAACTCCCTCCCCATGCCTTACTCTTAATGTTTATGCCCTCATCTATAACGTGAGTAAAGTTACAGGAGTGCTTAAGTGTTTTCAGGAGCAGGATACTTATTAGCGGTGAAGTACCATTCATTTCACAGGATTTAGTTGTCCTTTGGAGACTGATGTATCATTGTAGTATTTCCTAAGCTGTTTCTCAGGGAAATACCCAATAGCGTTAAATGAAACTTGCCTGTCCCTGAATTTGTGCAACTTCTTTGGAATTGGAGCAGTTTTTAAAAATATTTTTGACCAGATGTCACAGGGAATATTTTTCAGTATCTGGATTGCTGTAAAAAATGGGAAAGCCACTTTTGCGCAAAGATCCCCATAAGCGGAGATTTTGAAAAAGCTGCTAGAGAAAGAAGTGTTATGTAGCAGGCTGTTGGGTAGAGTAAGCAAAGTAGCAGGGCAAGTTAGTTGCTGAAGGGAAATAGAACTCAAGACCTCCTGGCTCTGGGCAGCACACTTAATCCAGGACACTATGTGACTAGGAATATTTGTAAAGTGTGTGTCCATGCTATAGAATGTTGCTAACTTAGAGTAACGACTGAAAGATCTATTATGGAACACTGAATTTTGCAAATTCCCAAGTAAGCTGTAAGGGGCCAGGGAGTAAGTGCTCTGATCTAGCAGTCACAGTTGAAATGAGGTCCACACATCTGGGCTGGTAGTTGGTGGATGGGGGCTGAAAGAGTCATTAGAGCTGGATTCAATAAACAAAAGTTGGAGTCAGTCAGGTCAGGGTCAGTGATGTACCAGGCTGGAACTGGGAAGCAGGAATCAGGGTCAGATTCAGACTGGAGTTGAAGGCCATGGATTCGAGTTGGTACTAGAGTCACTGTTAGGCTGTGATCAGAAACCAAAGATTAGGAGACCACCAGGGAGATTGCAACAGGCCTGAAATCTATAGGGTTGACAAGCACACTTCCTGAGACAATCCTCCAAAGTAAAATAGGGTCACTGGCCAATCCAGAGGGCTACAGGAGACTGTCATTCTGGGTGTGCTCCTTGCAGCATCCGTGCTTCCTGGCTGTGGCTCTGCATGGCTGCCCAGAAGGACTCTGGGAAAGTCAGCCATCTCAAGTTCTTCAGACTCAAGGCTGTAGGGACTAGAACCTATGTAAGTGAACAAACTCGATAAATCCTGAATAAAGCATCACAGCTGATGCCTTATCCTCCCCACCTTCAGCTGATGCCAGCGCCAGCCCCTAGTGGCTTGTTCTGGGGCTGCCCTGCAGCCCACCTCAAGCTCTGGCCTGGCTCTGGGGCTGCATTGCAGCCCACCTCAAGCTCTGGCACACAACCAGGGTGGGCTGCATGGTGGCTGCTCCCGCTCTGGCCACATCTCCAGCTCTGGGGAAGCTGGCAGCAACTAAATGTTATTTTTAATAATATCTGATAATTCTGTGTAGTGTATTATTAAATCTACCCAGCCTATGGCAACATCATTGATTATGTGAGCACTAATGAGTGCTCGAAGGAGGAGGTAATCAGAATCAAAAGTTATTTTCATTTTAGCTAAATTTGTAATAGAGAGAGGACAAGGATTTGTTAAGTGTAAAGGAACAAAGTGTGTAGACACACAAGTGTGTTATTTTCTGCTTTCAGTGAGGATCTACAAACCAAGTGTTTCAAAAGTAGTTCATCTCATTGATCTCGTTGATTATGAGGTGCTAAACAAAAGCCTGAGTAGTATGGGAGATGGCTAATTTGACATTTTATTGACATACTGTGTCTGTCATCTTTACGGCATGTATGCCTGTTTTCCAGGTCAGACCTGCCATTGGATTTTACCATGTTATGGGAACGTTTGTGCAAACACATTTTATTTTTGAAAAAACACCATGTTTTGCTGAAGGAAGAAGTCAAAGAGATGTTTGGAACTTTACTGATTTCAGAAAAGAATGCACAAGGTGGCCAGGTTAGTGCTTACAATCATTCCGCTAATCAAACTTTTCATGTATGTGTGTCGGTGGTTACAGCCTGAGAGTTTGGAGAAAAATAGAAATAAAAAATGTATTTTTCTTGTGAAACCTTTTGAGACTTAAAAATGGCTTCTGCTGTCATAATGGTCCTTTACCATGATTCTTGTGATTGGTGATCACTATATGAAAGTTTAATCTCTCTTTCTTTGCTCTTACGCTTTCCCACTTGTGCAGTGCTGGAAGCTGTTTAGAAATAGGCCTACATTTATAGGACTTAGTCATGTATGCATAAGCACCAATATACTGGTGCCCACTTGTACTGCTTTGCCTGTGCAAGTTTCTAAGCCATTATGGATAAAGCAGTGCAAAAATTTAGACAAATCCCAAGGAAGCTGCAGCTTTATCAACAATCACCTTTTTGTCTTACCTTTTTTAATTTGAAAAAGAAACACTAGGAAATTGCAGACAAAAATAAGTAAAGTTGCAAGAATTGGGAAATGCCAAATTATAGAACTACTTACAGTTGTTTTCTCAGGACCTCTAGCTCATTCTTTGTACTATTTATTTACACATGGGTGTGCATTTGTTTAAAATCTCACCTGAAGAAAAATATATAAAGTGTACATCAGTGGCACTGTCTACACAGTATATCATATGGGGAGAAACAAACAAACAAGTCACAAGCTCCATCAGGGTTTTTTTTTCAATCATTCCCTTTCCCCAGAATGTCGGGGTGGGGGGCGAATCTATTCTTAGTCCGACTCTAAAGAAGTTGAAGGGTGCTTGGGGAGGAGAAAGGGACTCTCATTTATTTTTGTTGTGAAATAAAGCCTTTTAAATAATTTCTTCAAGATTTTCAGTAGGACATCAGTATTCCCCCCATCTGTATTTTGAACTAAATAGATGTGCTGTAGTGAAACCAGGAAGAAAATAGTCACAAGCCTATTGTATCTCTTTGTTTTCTGTCCATCATTCTCACTGGATTAATAGGTTTTCATCATGAGTGATAGCTTGTTTTCTTTCGTGAAGCAGCATTGTAATGCTTGGTATACTAAATTGATATGGACAGTTTTACAAACAAGGCCCTTGTGTACACTTTTTAAAAACTTGACTATATATGGTTATAAACTGGCTCCCTGTAGAAAAAGCTAGCAGTCTGATGGACCGGATACTGCCTCCACCCTCCTACGACAAATCTTGCAGAGGCTGTAAGAGAGGACAGAAGAATAGAATTTTCCCCTGCCCCAACCTGACAGCTTGGAGTGGATTACCGGTGCGGTTGCTGGCCTGTGCCTGTCAGAGGCCAAACGCTATAGTAATAGTTTGGGCTCTTGCACACCCTCTGCAGTTACTTTCCTAGCCATAATGACTTTCCCTCTGTGCAGCGGAGCACTGATGGTTCCCCTCTGTGACTGAGGCTTTCTGCATTCGCTGGCAAGGACTTGGGGATGCTTGTTTGTTGCGGTGACTTTAAATATTAGTGTTAATCATATTTAGCTGTTACGTAATGCTTTGCATCTGTTGCTCACAAAGCACGTTAGAAAAGAGGGTCAGAATCATTATCCCCACTTTCCAGATGGAGAAATGGGCACAGAGTGACTTTGCCTAAGCATCCACAGCAGGCTAGTAGCAGATAAGGAATTGAACCTGTGCCTTGTCTGCTAGAGCATACTGTTTCCTCCAGAGGGAATGGATAATTATTGTCAGTCAGGGTATCTCTCTTCCCTACCTTTAAACTATGAGTTTGTAACAAGATTTCTTTGTAAGACTCACAATCCAAAACTTGCCTTTGCACAAGACAAAGAGCAGATACATTATGAAGGGTTAATAGGATTTAGATTTTTAATCCAGTTATTTTCCTAGAGAGTTGTAGCTCAAACAAAAATAAAGAAATAAACTGAACAAATCATTTACAAAATTTCCCCTCCTCTAAGCAGCTTCCAGAGGTAACTGATGTTATTTAAACATGTTTTAGGAAATCATGGTCCAAACAACAATATTTTGGCACATTGGCTCTTCATTTTAAATTGTAGTCAAGGTAATTGTACTTTTAAAAGAGAGATGGATAAATAATTTGGCTTTCAGCTTTGCACTGCACCTTCCCTGAGCAAGAGACCCAAGCAAGGGCTGTATCTTGGAACTGGTAGTAAATATATTTATAATATTTTCAGAGCTATTAATATACGCTTTATATGTGGTGATAGCACCGAGGAAGATATTGCACTGAAGCTAGAACACTGCGTGTATGATGACAACGGGGTGAGAAATTGAATAAAGATGGTAAAGAAAAAGGGTTATATTTAGAGTTCAGTAATAAGCACTTTATTGTTCAACCTATGCATTATAATCTGTTTGCTGTTGTGTGTTACACTGCTGCCCATGTGTGCATGAATTTATTTTTTTATTATATCTGCTAATCAGGATAAATTCTCAAGGGAATTTATCTTCAGGGTAGATTTACCTTGGAAACCTCTTTATTTACAAGGAAATTGCACAGGACAATAGGCTTCCATGAAGTAGCCTATATAAATAAGGCTAAAATACAAAGGCACACAGCTCATTAAATAAAACACATACATTAAGGCTTGTTGGATTCCTGGAAATGTTTAAATGGCCTCCTATTAAATCCTTGAGAATAGATCACATTTTATGCTAAATGTTTATCCCACCTCTAAATATGGATCTGAATTTTGAATTACAAATAACTACATGTTGGAAAAAAATTGAATATTTGCACTCTCAACCCTTGAATGGACAAATAAAGGCCTGGCGGAGTTGTGATGTATTTATTTTGCCCATTCTGTGCACTCAGAGTTCTTAATTATTACGACTTGAAGATTAATATGGTTTTCAGGTCTTTTTGAAGATTTACTGTGCTCATGGATGAAAGTTCCACCCAGCCCTAATGCTTGCTCCGGGTAGTGTTACAATATTTTGTCCTAAAACTCCCAAGAGTGTTCGAAACCCTCCCAGCAGTCCAAACGTGCATATAAATCCACTCTGGGAGGAACCTCGTGGGCAGAATTGGGAATGGCTTTAAAAAGCATCTGCACTTAGAGAGGTTCCTGTCAGTCTCTGTACCCTCCATCACACCACCAGCCAGCCCTTCGCTCAACAGGCCTGATGGTCTCCGGAGTGGGTTTTTTTCTGGGACAAGCAAACCCAATATCCCTTCTACCATCTTCAGGAGGCAAATCAAGTGCCCTGTTTTGGCAGATGTTCTTCTCTCTTTCCCCTTTTCTCATTCCTAGGAAACATGGCCAGTCCCTCCATGTGGTCTCCTCCCTCTTCCTGCCTGCTTGTAGTGTTGCACTGTTTCCTTCTCCTGCCCCCTTCCATGTCATCCATTTCTTTCTCCCTCCCTCTCTCCTGTAGTCATTTCCTCTTTCATTGCCATGGATCTTGAGAATACTTGATGCTCCTTTTGTGGCTTTAGAGAGAGTCCCAGGTGAGGAAACTCCACATCACTAGCCTTATATTTTTCTTGTGACGGTCTGAGGGCATCTTGACCTTGAAACTTCCTGGGTTGACTTATGAAAGGAACTTTCTAAAAAGTATTTCTGATACAGTTCTTTTACTCAGTTACACTCCAATATGCAAAGGACCAATGCATCTTATTGGAGGAAAGCTAATGTCGTGTCAATATTTAAACAGGATGATGTGGTTATTTATAGGCCATCTTCTTAGCCTAATATGGATCCTACCAGACTTTGCTTAAGACGACCTTTTTCCATACATACTGGAGACACTAATATAGGGGTGACAGTCTGGTCCCTGCTGGTCCAGGCATCAGTCCTTGTGCTTTCCTAGATTTCACTCTGGCTGTCTGATAGGAACTCATCCCATTTTATCTGAATTTCTAAATATAGTATTTAGCGTCCATTTATTACTTTTGAATGATGATTGGAAATTGTTTAACAGTACTTTATTAGAGTCACAAAAGCCACAATGAAGGAAGAAGGCCATGTTGGTTTAAAAAAGAAACAAACCTCATTTAAAGGGGAAGGGAAGACAGCTACAAAACAAAATTATTATTATAATATTAACAAAATGGAAGTAAAAGGGAGTTGATATAAATGACTATAAATCAGAAGTTAGTAACTATAGGAAACTGATAGAGGTAAAAGGACACAACGAGAAATCTGTGGTCTGTAGAATTAAGGAAAATAAGAGGGAGGTTTTAGAAGAATATTAGGAACAAAAAGAATCTTAGCATTAGTTTCTTCCCTTACTAAATGGAAATGATAGATAAATTCATAATAATGCAGCGATGGCAGAAGTGTTCAATTAATATTTATACATTTTGAGGGGAAAAAAAGATGGTATAGTTATTTCATATGATAACTTCTTCCATTCCTCTATCATCTCAGGAAGCTGTTCAGCAGCAGCTGCTAAAGTAAATGTTTTTAAATCCGCAAGTCCAGATAACTTGCATCCAAGAGTTGTAAAAGAGCTGGCTAATGAGCTCACTAAGCCTTTCATGTCAATTTTCAGTAAGTCTTGGACCAGCGTGAACCTTACAGATGACTGTAGGAAAGCTGATAACTGTCAATATTTAGAAAGGAGAAACAGGATGATGTGGTTAATTTTATAAGCCTGTTAGTCTAATGTTGAACCTCGGGCAAGATAATGGAGTGGCTGGTACGGGACTCCATTAGTAAGGAATTAAAGGCAAGTAATATAATTAATGCCCAGCCAACATGGGTTTATGACAGTTGTCAAACTAAATTGAGATCTCTTTTTATGAAATAAGTCTGATTGATTAAAGGTAAAGGGGGTTGGCCATTTGAATTGGTACTCATGACATTGACTTGGAAACATTAGAAAGATATAAAATGTACGTGGCACACATTAAACAGTGGCTGACGGGTCTCAAAATGTAATTGTACATGGGGACTCATCATTCAAAAGGGGTGTTTCTAACAGCATCCGACAAGGATCAGTTCTTGGTCCTGTGGTATTTAACATTTTTCTTAGTGTCCTCGAACAAAACAAGAAGTTACCACATGAAACTTTCAGATGACATAAAATGGGGGGAGTGGTAAATAAAAAGAGAACTGATACAAAAATGATGTGCATTTTCCTCTGGCTAGAAGTACACAACTAGGACTAAAGAACCTACCATACTTCTGTGATGGGAGACTGAATCCTTGAAAGCAGTGACTGAAAAAGATTGGGCCATGAGACGGGTGGGGTGAGAAGGGATATAAAGAGCTCAATCTTATTAAGCTTAACAAAGAAGGTTAAGAGGTGACTTGATTAGTTTATAAGTACTTACATAGGGAACGAATATTTAATAATGGGCCCTTCAGTCTAACAAAGAAAGGTATGACCTGGTCCAGTGGCTGGAAGTTGACGCTAGACATATTCAGAAATAAGGCATATAGTTTTTGAACAGTGAGACTAATTAACTATTGAAACAATTGACCAAGAGTTGTGGTAGTTTCTCTATCACTGATCATTTTTAAATCAAGATTAGATGTTCTTATAAACATTATGCTTCAGGAATTATTTTGGAGAAGTTCTGTGGCTGTTTCTACCAGAGGTAAGACTAGTTGATCTCAGTGGTCCCTTCTTGCTTTACGAGTCTGTGGTGGTGCAAACGTCCCTCAGTAACAGCCTAAAATACGTTACTAGAAGACCCTTTGTCAGTTGAATTACTTCTGATACAATAACATTAGCTTTGCATTGTGATGGACTGTCAGTTGGACACAAATCTGCCTTTTCAATAACAAAAGCAATTCATGACAGGGTTATATAGCCTGATTCATTTTTAACATTTTCAAAAAGCAATCCGTTAGAAGTTCCATGATTTTGTAGGTTTGCTGCTGTTGTGTTTATGTATTGAAATCCTGAGCATGAGCTTAGTTTAAAAAACAAAACCGTCACTGAAAGTTATTTGCTTACAACTCAAAAAGAGCCATTGTGGTCTCTTGGGTAAATAACGGATTAAGAATAAAAGCAAATGAGTAATATTTGCCTATGGGACCTGAATGATTTCAGTTGGAGCCATTCCATTCTCTCAGGTAAACATATAAAGAAACTCACAAAATCTAGGATTATTTTCATGCGACATCAGCCCAGATCCTTAGAGGTTGCCTCATTTATTGAGCAATTAGATAATTAGAGCTTGAATCTAGAAAGGTTTTCAGAATCAGGTCCCTAATTTTCACCCTATATTAAAAAACATCCTTAACAGCTGGTGGGAGGGGAAAATGGAAAAAATGCTGTATGTTGATAAAAGGTTTGTTTGAAAATACTTATTTAAATCTGTCATTTGCTTGTGTGTGTGTGTGTACACTGTGTTGTGTTCTTAATTTTCAGCTTTGGATCAAATTCAGTTTTGAGTTACACAGCCAAAATGTGTTAAAATTTTATTTTAAAAAAGCTTTTAAAGCTCAGAAATAACTTTAAAAAAAATCTAAACTTGCTTTTAGAACTTGGCAAGCTGCTTTTAGCTCAGAACTCTATTTTATAACAATTATAGCCTTCTGGGAAAATGTGGGCTTTAATTAAAGGGGGGGAGGGAGAATCGGAAAAGACAGCTAATACATTCTTAACTATAGAGGTGTGAACGGTGCCACTGAAATACATATGAATACATAAGACCGAATAAACAGTCTAGAGAGGATTGGTAATACCATACATTTAAGAACCTGATTCAAAGCCCATTTAAATAAATGCAAAAGACTCTCATTGACTTCATTGGACTTTTGGATCAGGTCCTTCATCCCCAAGTATATTAGGTGAGGTGTAGTTTTCTGTGAACATGTATTACTTATGCTTTAAAACACTTTAGGTTAACTCCCTTACACATGGGCTGAAAAAATGGATGAGAAAAATTGCTTCAAAACCAATTTTAAAATACTGTAACACACTTCCTGGACTAGCATATGTGGTGGCATGCTGTTTTTTCTTTGATGGGTTACCCATTAATGAGAAAACACTGATGATTTCTGGAAAATGTCTTGCTTTAAAAATGGCATCAGTTTGAATTAGGAATTAAATTAAACTATGAAGTGAAGTAGCAGCAGTTTAACAGAGATCATTTAAGATCGAACAACAAATATCCTGGTGACAGATTATGTTAAGTAATGATTAACCTGAATTTATATTGAAAAAGAATGTAGCTCTGAGACAAAGGAGAATAGTGTGCTGCAGTTGTTTTTCTGTATTTATTGACTTTATTTATTTTAAATGCTATAGGTTATGTTGTCATTGAGAGAGGTCCTTCCGGAAGAGTGTGGCAATAGGTCATCTATTCATAGCAATGAATCATCTTACTGCTTGCCATCAATTCTGAATGACAATGGTGAAATAAAGCAAACAATACATGCTCAATGGCTTAACAGCATTGGTACAAGGGAACAAGGTAACTAATGTTAAAAGATCCACAGAAACAAATACGTTCAAAGTTCCTGTCATTCCTAGTGTCTGAAGGTTTATTGAAAAAATACAATACGAGAGTCTGTAGAAAATTGTGTTATTACTGCAGTTCTGATGAATTAACACACGAAATTTTTTTGTTTACCTGGGGGGTAATATAATCTTCTCAAATGTCTGCTAGTAATAATTATTATTTCTGTTCTCTTATTTTTAAATGAACATTTTATAATGATTAGATTTCCATTTTTCTTTTAAAAATGTAAATTAGAAATGTAAGTCTTGTGCTGAGGTCTGTCTACCATTTACAAAACACATTTTGCCATATCAAAATTAGGCAAGTGTAGTTTACGCATAAACCCAGATTGGGGAATAGACTCCCCCCTCCGTCTTTCGTTGTAAAGTGAAAAATCCATGCTAAGAAAAACTGCATTAAATTTTTGAAGTTATGAATTGAGTATTTTTTTAAAGTCTGGTTAATATCTTTAGCTAAGGAAAGTAATATAATTTAGTCTGTTGCAATGACTAGAAGATAACTTGCTCAGTGTACTTCCAGAGCATTGCTTACATCAAAGACTAAAGAAACAGGCAATTAAGATGCAGTCCTCTTTACACAGCAAATGTAAACAAACTGATTTAGATCTCCTAAATTCATGCTAGTTTTATCCATGGAGAAGAGAGATACTTTGATTTAAACTAATTAATGTTCCAGCATTATATATATTATTGCTCTTGGACTATTGGGCAAGTCCCTAGAGTTATAGGTTTTTGTTTTTGTTGATGGTTTTTGTTTGGTTGGTTTTTTTTTAATCTCATCAGGACTTACATTATTTAAGATATTTGGTTAGCTCACTGCTTTCCTTGGAAGCTACACAGGGACACAGTAGCATCATATTTGACTAAAGTTCACAGTAGGCGCCTCTTTTAAGAACTGTAATAGACAGTTTAGATCAATAAATAAGAGATAACAAAAGTGAAAAATTAAAGGGAATAGGGCTTAAAAGAAAACAAACCAGTCTGATCATTGTGGCTTTGAAATGTGTTTTCATTATTGTATGTTCACATACAGAAGTCACAAGCTGGTGTGAAGATGAGAGCAAGGAAGAAAGCTTGGCAGAAAAGATTCCTATTACAGGTAAAAGTAATGGCTGCGTAATAGCCTCAAATACAGTATTCAACTATATTATATAATCAAAACATTGCATTTCAGTGGTTTGTGGATCCACTAATAGTGAGTAAATTCTGCTACTACATACTGAGCTCAGAGATTAAACGTAAGATCATAAAGTACACGCTTATGTTAACATAAACCAAGATGGAAAATAACAGTGCCTATTTAATTCCTTGTAATCATGTTATACATTTAAACCATGTGAATATCCTCTGTCATTTAGCCTTTGAGGTCTTAGTATCGGTGTTACAAAGGTCAGTCTCCATGGGGAAGATCCAGTAATTATATGGCAAACTACAGATGTTTCTGATTTGATTCTTTTCTTTTCTGTAGTAATTGAACGTGCATCATTAGAATAAGAGCAGAAAAAAATGTGTCAGGCAGGAAACTGTGCTTTTGCCTCTGTTTATAAAGGCTGTCTGGTAATTTAAACATTTTATCAATAAGGTTTATCAAGATGTGCTAAGATCTCTCTGTAGCAGATGTACTATGCTTGGTTAGATGGAATTTGAAAAATATTGCTTTTTTAGTTTTAAGATATCAATAGCAAACAGTAGTATTTGGGGGCAGAACTCAGTAATTGTAATCTGTCTAAATGTATTACTTTTTTTGCAAAGTGTGGACGACTTCATTATCCATTCAAATATATGGCTCAATATTTATGCAGGTGCATATGTGGGCATAAGCAATATTTACTGTTGGTTTTCTGGCGTCTGGTTTTTTTTAATATTAACAAATATTCTTTTATCAGCGGAATGACTGATCCTTCTATGGAGGCTTTTTTACGCTTGTTTCATGAACCCTGTTGCATAGCTCAGATATAAGACTTGCTCCTTGTGTTCCAGGGTTTAACCCCAAGAGTGGTTCTCCTTTATTAAACAGACTAAAGACTTAATTTGACCTCTTTTCACTTTGGAGGTGGAGGGTGGACCCTAAGTTGACTGACCTTGTGTGGTGTTTTTCCTGTCTTGTGTCCAGATATGGCTTTGTTTAACAAAATAACTTAATTTTACAGAGGAAAACGACAAAATAGTTTAGGAACCTAAAACTTTAACAGAATAAAGGTTTTGCCTCAAAATGATAAGTGTACTTTTAAAAAATGTGTGCATGGGGCAATGGGAAGTAGGGGTTAATGAAACCTACTAGGATCCAAGTTCTGAGTTCGCTGCTGCTTCTCCAAGAAAGGGTGACTTTACTAGCATATTTGTGCCTGCCTCCGTAATTTCCACTGAAGTGTATGGGTGTGTCTAGACTACAGGGTTTTTTCGAAAAAAGTGGCCTTTTTTAGAAAAAACTTCCCCTGCGTCTAGACTGCTGCTGTGTTCTTTTGAAAGCAAATCGAAAGAACGCGGCAGTTTTCCGGGGAAGAACGTTTCGAAAGTGCTCTTTCGAAAAAAGGCGTTCTTGAATTCAAACAGGGCTTTTTCAAAAGAGAGCATCCAGATTGCCTGGGTGCTCTCTTTCGAAAAAGTGGCTCGCTTTTTCGAAAGAAGTGGTTGCAATCCAGACGCTGTCTTTCGAAAGAGGCTTGCAGTCTAGACATAGCCTATCTGACGAAGTGAGTCTATGCCCACAAAAGCTGATGCCCAAATAAATGTGTTAGTTTTTAAGGTGCCACAGGACTCCTCGTTAATATTACTAACACCTTGAACAGTGTAAGGAATGTTTATCTTCTCTAAGCGATTACATCACTAATAATACCTTGGGAGAACAAAGAATCCTGAATTTTGGTCTTAGTAATTAGAGAACCTTTCAATTTACTTTTTCATTGTAAGGTACAGCTGTACTTTCTTAAGGTTGTGAGGACTGAAAGTGAGGGGAAAGATGCCATCTGAGAACCATCCTGTTGAATAGTGATAGAAATGTAGCCGTGTTAGTCTGGTGTAGCTGAAACAAAATACAGGACTAACTAGATCAGTGGTCCCCAACGTGGTGCCCGCGGGCGCCATGGCGCC